TCTTCTTCAAGCGCCCTCTCCGCTACGGAGTTTGGCAATCATCATTGCTATTCGTATCTTTGAAAATGTTGCTTTAAATAATTGGTTAGATGTGCACTGGAACCAGTCTCTTAAATTGCGCAGCCAAGATATACGCCGTCTCCCCACGCTTCGTTTGCCCTGAATCTTTCCTTGGATAAATAACTGGAGCAATCGGTACTTTTTCCTTCTCATCACATGACCAAGATACTCCAGCTTTCTTCTCTTGATGGTGATCAACAGCTCCCGTTCTTTGTTCATTCTTCGAATAACTACACTATTTGTTATATTGTCTATCCAAGATATTTTCAAAATTCTTCTATATAACCACATTTCGAAGGTCTCTAGTTTATCGATATTGCTCTTGTTTAAAGTCCAAGTCTCTACTCCGTACAGCCGTATCGAAAAGATGTAGCATCTAACCAATCTCATTTTCAGGTTTAGCTTAATGTCATGACTTCCCAGAATGTCCTTCATATTAACAAAAGCAGCTCGAGCCTTTCCAATTCTAGTTTTTATTTGTTCTGTGATGTCATTGTTGATATTAACATTTGTTCCCAAGTACTTATATTTGTGCACCTGTTCGATTTCGTTATTGTGAATGTACAGGTTTGCATTGAATCTTTGTTTTTTTAAATAGTCATGAATTTCGTCTTCTTGACTTTCATTGTTAACACTTTCTCTTCACTAGCTGTGACTATCTTGTTTAAAATGGCTTGCAGGTCTTCTACTGTCTCCGCCATTAAAACCGTATCATCTGCGTATCTAATATTATTAATTGGTTGGCCGTTAACTGTTATCCCAATCTCTTCTTCCTCCAATGCTTTCTTCATAATTTCTTCCGAATAGAGATTAAATAGCATTGGTGACAGCACACATCCTAGTCTAACTCTTTTTTTAATTTTAATTTCATTTGTTGTGCTATTTTCGATGCGTGCAACTGCCTTCTGATTATAATACAGAGTAGATATTATTCTTATATCGCGAGTGTCTAACTGTTTAGCTTGGTCATGCTTGACGTTATCAAACGCCTTGTTGTAATCAATGAAACAAGCAAATACATCTTGATTCGCATCCAAACACCTCTGTGTCAAGATGTTAAACGCAAATGATGCTTCGCGAGTTCCATATATCGCGTTCCATATAAATGAAGATTATTGTGAGATTACAAGTTAAAGGACTAATTTGTGATTGAACACTTAATTTTACTGAACCGTCTTCTAATAAGCAAAGAATAAGAATGATTTTTTCACGAAACTGAATAAAAAATTTACTCAAATTTATACACTACTTTTTTGATTTATTTATAATAAACAATAATACTTAGCAAAAAAGAGAAAAATCTGTGTTACAACTTGAAAGCTAACAGCTTAGCGATTAACAGTTTAACGATTAACAGAGTACAGGAGTAGTGAGGGGCACGACTGTTGGACATTTGACAACATTTGGACATTGAACATGGTACGATTGACAACGAAATATTATTGCGATTACCGATGCATTAGTGTTCAAGATACTCAAGTAAAGAGTTTGAACTGATTTTGCATTTAATTTCCATGAAATTCCAGGAGACGAAGTTCCTCGCGAAATCAGCCCTGGGTACAAGTACCACGGAGGTAATCGACGTCATAATATTTGTATTCAGCGACCCCAATAACCCCCGAGTAACGATTTTGCACTGATTTTATAACGAATTTTCACAAAACTCCAGGAGACGAAGACCATCCTAGCACCAGATGAATATGTGATTATCGCCGTCATGATATTCGTTTTCAGCGACCCCAAAAACCCCCAAGTAACGTGTTTGCAAAATTAATGCAAATACTAAAAAATATCGGAATAGATGACAAGGATATTCGTGTCATTAAAAGTTTGTACTGGAGTCAAACTGCTAACGTAAAAATTGGAGATAACTACACCGATGAAATCTCTATACAACGAGGAGTCAGACAAGGTTGCATTTTGTTGCATTGTTCAATGTTTACTCGGACCAATTATTTAAAAAGGCACTTTAGAGACAACCATATGGAATAAAAATCAATGGGTAACTACTTAATGTGATTAGATATGCAGACGATACAGTAATTCTATCAGAAAATATTGAAGGTCTTCAAATTCTGCTTGATCGTATTCACGAGGTAGGAGAGCAAATAGGCATTAAAATAAACTCAAACAAAACCAAATTTTTAGTGTTTAGTCGTGACCCACATCCTGATGCAAAGCTTCAATTAAACGGAGTCCAAGTTGAGAAAGTTCACAAAATGATATATTTGGGAACTGTGATAACAGACCAACTAGATCCAGACATAGAAATAAAACGTAGAATAGGAATGACTAAAACTACTTTTATGAAAATGAAGTAATTTCTTTGCAATAACCATCTCAGTTTACGAACTAAGGCAAAGAATGGTTAAGTGCTATGTTTGGTCCGTACTTTTGTATAGTGCAGAAGTGTGGACGCTAAAAGTATCGATCATGAAGAAAATTGAAGAATTGGAAATGTGGGTTCATAGACGAATGCTGAAGATACCTTGGGCAACAAGGAAAACTAATGACGAAGTACTAAGGAGCGTCAACAAAGATAGAGAGCTGCTGAAGACTGTTAAACATCGAAAAATGTCTTATCTGGGAAATATAGTAAGGGGAAGTCGATATAAAATATTACAACTAATCCTTAAAGGCAAAATAGAGGGCCGTAGAGGTGTAGGAAGAAAACACGTTTCTTGGTTAAACAACATTTGTGAATGGACTCAAATACCAAATGCAGGACAATTATTTCATATAGCAGAAGATCGAGAAGCCTTCACAATAGTGATCGCCAACGTCGGATAATTCTGATATTGCACGCGAAGAAGAGAAGAACGAGTTTGCACTTATTTTATATCAAATTTACACAAAACTCAAAGAGACGAGGGCTCCAGGTGCCTCAGAGACAATCACCTTCATAATATTCATGTTCAGCGACCCCAAAAACCTCCAAGTAGTAATATTAAACTCATTTGTGTCAATAATTTCCGAATTACAAATTTATCATTTTTATCCCTTCGGAACGCACTTTGAAAAAATGCATTTTTCTTGTTCAGTAATACTCCGGTCGTTTAAGACGAAAATGAAACTAAACCTCTAAAAAACATGTGAACAAGCTTAATTTTGCTAAGAATGTCAATTTTGGGACTCCAAAAAAGATGCAAAAAAGTTTGCCACGCCTACTACCGCGCTTATCCCTAAAACCATCCTTGCAAAGGGAAAACATCGATTTACCAAAAATCTGTAAGCCGTAGAAAAAAAAATGTTTTAAACAAGAAATGTAGATGAGAAAGAAAGACGAGAAGAAATCACTTTGAACAAAAATATGTTTTAGCACTTTTTCTGTAGAAGTAACCGTTTTCTCATAAACAACGCTTGAACCGACCGGCAATTTTGAATGTCAGTTAAGCGTGCGAAATCAATTTTTCTTTTGATCAGAATGCCCTATCGATAAACATCAAAATGCGTTTTAAAGCTGAAGAGCGTACATTTCGTTTGCTATTTTTGCATTTTGCCGCAAATGAAGTTAGCTTGTAAAGCTATAAATAAAAAAACGTTTTCTTACGCGTGATTTTTGTAATTTTTTATAATTTTTATGAGATCAATAAAATTTATCATTTCCGTTGACTGGTCAGTATGGAATCTTCATTGTTAGAGCCTAATTTTCAAAATCTATAGCATGAAATTTAGATTTAGAGTTTTGGCAACAAATATGAAGCATTTGAAATATGTCTAAAAACATTGAATTCCAATAGAAACGAACTAAAACGTTTAAAACTGCTTCTTTTCGATTGTACAAGTACCTTTTTCGAAACTTATTAAAAAATTATTTGTAATGTAAAAGTTTAAATTCAGCGTTTTTAGACATATTTCAAATGCTTCATTTACCAAAAGTCAAAATCGGAATTTCATGTTAAAGGTGTTGAAGATTAGGCTCTACAAATGGAAATTTAACAGCGACCGGTCAATGAAAGTGATAAATTATATTAATCTAGTAAGAATCATAAAAAATGGAGCAACATTTATTTATTTAACAGCTTTATAGAAACTGACTTCATTTGCGACAAAATCCAAAAATTGCATACGAAATCTGCATACTTCAGCTTTAAAACGCACTTGATTTTTGTCGATAGGATACTGATCAAAAGATATCTAAAAAAAAGTATTTTAAGTTGATACAAATTTTATTTAAAAAATGGACTTCTTAACATATTTAAAATCGCCATCTACACAGATTCTTTGTGAACCAATGTTTTCCGTTTCCTCGATTACAAGCGGGGGTTTAGGGGGAAGCCCAGAGGTAGGAGTGTCAAACTGTTTTACACCTTTTTGTGCAAATTGTTCATCTTGTTTTTAGAAATCAAATCTCTGACAAGTAGACTATAATCCAATTGTTATTTCATCATCGCTTTAGTTCAAAAAATTTCCTAGCGTTCGTACGAATCGAATGCAACAATTTTCGTTGAGATCCATCAAACTGCAAAAAATTTAAATTTCCTTGTTGAATGCTTTTTGGACAGCATGATAAATGTTGATTTAAACTAATCAGCTGGATTTTTCTACTGGAATGCATCGCAAAAATCAGTTTTATTTGTTTTCCTGTAGTGATGTAAACTGTTGAGATTGTATTGTTTTTTTTTTTCACTATCTTGAACTTGAAACAGAATTAATAATTACCAACATAGAAAGGCCTAATTTGAGGAAAGAATGTACCTACGCCTTTTTTTATTTACGACGTAACTGGTTACATCATGTAGTTGCATCTCTTTTTACTTGTATTAATTTACTACACCGCAGAAAATATTACTCTAAAACTGTATAGATACTTTTGTTACTAATAAACTGATTTGTGATTTTTTGAATTATTATTTCTGTAAGTATTTCAAATATTGTATTTGACGAATATAAAAATAACAAAAAAAATTGTAATTAAATAATTAGATCATTATAAATACCTTCGTTGTTCTTTTATTACTGAAGAAAGTAGTGGAACAACTAGTGTCATCATACAATGAATTTGACGAACCATATTTTACCTCCTCAAAAGTTTCTTCAACGGATTCTTGATTTGATTCTTCGTTGATATACACTTTCCCACTCCTAACAAATAAATACTATAATTAATTCAATAATACAAGATGATAATCCAATACTATTTGTGTTACTTATGGACAATATACTAAATAAATTAAAAATTATGTACCTGGCGCGTACGTAATAGTAAAAAAAGAGATATATAATGAATAGAAAGAGTGGTAAAGTTTGGGCGTGTACATTAAAAGTATAGAAGTGACCCATTAAGCTCGCTGCAGGCTGTAGTTTTCTTATTTTGCATGGGAGGCAAGTTCTATACTTTGTTAAGTATTTTTTAGATAAAAACATAGGAAATGTTGAGTGGAAAATATCGATCACAGTTGGACAAGTTCAATGGTTAAATTTACTTAGGTTTAAGTATAAAATACGTATTTCTTTAGTTACATTTACAGTTTGAGCAAATATAAAGAGTAGTAGTATCTGCTTCCGTACAGTCTGCATGAGCCCAAAGACCACAGAGACGACATCTCCACTATAATTTATTTGATCCAAACTCTTAACATACTGCACATAGTTTGCTTTCTCGTGTTTGGTGTGCTTTCACGCCATAAGTCTTCTTCTTGACTAATTGTTCTGTTTTTATCTTAGTAGCTTCAATTGTTCGTTTTTAACTTTCTCAACCTCATTCTTCTTTTGCTTTTTTGTTCCTTATTTTGTAACTGTTCTTTTAATGGTGTTGATATTAAAATGGTCGAGTGTTGAGTTCGCCTGCTTCAAGTTTTTGTATTACTATTGTCGCTCAGATCAATGTCTGAAACTTCCTCTAATTCTGATTCAGATAAAGAATCTTCTGAAGATGGTGCTGCTTTTGGTCTCAGTTTTTTTATTTTTGACTCCACTGGTAGTTTATATAGGGGAACTGATGTTGGCGTTGGTGTTTGATGTGTATCGGGCAGAGAAGACACATTGTCTTGATATTGTTCAACTACTGGTATAGATATTAATTCTTCTTTACAAAAAACATCGGGATTGAAGGAAAAGATCCCTGTGGTTCGAAAACCATTTACAGCTTTCTTAACAGACGCGGAACTAGTAAAGCCAATTTTGACAAGTTCTGCAACGTCTGTTGTATTGATTTTCTCATTTTTTTTTGTTTTATATACTTGTCACATTCTTGGTAGTAAGTAGTCTTGAATGAAGAAAAAAACGTGATATATATAGGCTGGAGAGGGTGGGAGGTGTGTGGTGGCAGTGAAAGAACTGGGTGGTCTTTAGAAGCATTAACATGCGGCTGAAAATGTTTCAACCATTTCAAGAAAAGTTTTTCCGTTATCCACCCTGATTTAGAACATCTATATATTGCCCCAATAGAACCGTTTTTGTCCAAACTTTTCAACCTATTTCTTCTATAAATAAACATAGCTGGGATATATTGACCTGAGCCACTGAAACCACAACGGCATAATTGCACCAACTTGTTTCTGGCCTTTGGGAGCAACAATTTTACAGGGAATATGAACATTACTGATACCCGTCTCATCAACATTAAAAATTTGATGACATTCAAATTTGTATCGATCACATAGAGTTGCCAAGTTTTTGTAAAATATCTTTAGTTCTTCACGATTAAGAGCAGTAATTCTAGAGTCTAAAACCAGAGGCAACAAGCAGACTTGTTGCCTCTGGTTTACGCAAACTTAGTTCTGGATGACTGTGCATAAATGAATAAAACCAGTCATTTCCACACATTTTCGTTGCCATTTTAAATGAATGTTTAATTTTGTTTTGCTCTGCATATTCAAAAACCATTTGACGTATGGTACTAGACGTAAGGCCAAAAAACGCCTAGTTTCTAACACCTAGAAAAGACAGTTCTAAAATTCTAGATACAAATTCGGATTCCTATTCCTTGGCAAAGACAGCTTCAGTCTTGCAATGTTCCATAAGGGATGTGTATAACTTGGATGCTCCTCTTATCAAAAGTATTTTGTCAGCTATATCGCTGAGGGCTCTTTCCATCGCCTCTTCGCCCCATTAGGACCGTGTTGTTTTTCTGTGATATGTTCGTGGCATCTGAAATAAATAACATTAACTGAGACCTATCAAAATTAGAGTAATATCGATGGGGTAAAATCGACAACTATGGTCTTAACCTGAAATTCTTAATCTTAACCACTTAACCTGAAATTATATGATTTTGTGATATCTGTATACTAGAAATATGTTTTCATGCATTGTGAACACTAAAATGAGTTCAGCTTATAAAGAAGCCCTTACCTTAAAATACGATTGTAGAATCTTATAAAAATCTTCCACAAAACACAAATTTACTAAACATTAAGTGTCTTCTTCTTAGAGTGCCGTCTCCCTACGGAGGTTGGCAATCAGAATGGCTATTTTTATTTTAGAACTTGCTGCTCTAAACAAATCAATCGATCTGCATTGGTACCAATCACGTAGATTCTTTAGCCATGAGTTCTGCCTTCGGCCAACAGATCTTCTTCCTTGAATCTTTCCCTGTATTATTAGTCTCAAAATTTCATATTTTGGTCCCCTCATCACGTGGCCTAGGTATTCCAGTTTTCTGGTTTGTATTAAGTGTCTATGGCGTATTAAAAACGACTAAGTTGCCAGTGCTCCGCCTGTTGTTGATGATTTCAACACGTGCGCATTCGTTTTGCTCTGCGACGTCAATTAGATGAAATTTGAGAGTCATCGATATTACCCTGCGGGTCGATATTCCCCCACCTTCCCCTAACTCCGGTAAAGATTTTTTTGAAAATACAAGAGCCATGTAACCCCTTAAATAATATAATGTGTATCTCGATAAACTGTAAGAACTCCTTATTCGTACATAATGGTATGTGTATTAGCCGTGGTACCTACTGTCGTCTTAGCAAGAGTGGACCCCTGAAATTGTCTACTACGCTGTACACTCTGCACTAGGGTGTTCGTGTGTAGTATACGACACACCCTAGGCACTTGTCCAATGTAGAACTGGACGTAGGTTTAATTATTACCTAGTCTTTATAAAGACTTGGCATAAATCTCCTACATGAAAAACTATTTGACTTAATATAGAAATAAAACTTCAGTTTTTGGTATAAAATACAATACAAGCCTCAGAGTCTAGGTGAGAGTAGCTGGAGCAGAGTCCCGTTAAATGGCTCCCTAGAGTATAGGGCTCTAGGAGTGACCGAGGTGAACTGTCTTTGGTTTGGAATTCAACTTGGTTTGGAATTCAACTAATATTTATACATAGTATTTTACAAGATTCCAATTCAAACGACCAATGGAAAAACAACCCACTCCCGGAAAAACACACTGTTATGAAACCTAAACATTTGCCTCGGAACAAGGGGAACTTTCGGAAACGACTAAAGCTACGAAACATGGACTATGCATTTGGAAGTTGGAATGTGAGGACGCTAAATAGACCAGGAGCTCAAACTGCACTTCTACAAGAACTAAAAAGATATAATCTTATGATCACTGCTCTTCAGGAGACAAGATGGCTGGGGAAAGGTGTCAGGGACACCAAAACGCACACAATTCTATATAGTGGCAAAGAACAAGGAATCAAAGAATGTGGAGTTGCATTTGTGGTAGATAATGATTTTAAGTCAAAAATCATAGACTTCCAGGCAGTGAATGAAAGGATATGAAAACTAAGAATTCGCACCCACTTCTTCAACCTTACTATGATAAACATCTACTGCCCAACAGATGAACAAGAGCAACATACAAAGGAAAGCTTCTACCAACAGCTGGAGATAGTATATGACAACGCGCCAAAAAATGACATTAAAGTTATAATGGGTGATATGAATGCCAAAATAGGCAAGGAACCGCAGTTCTATGGCACAACAGGAAAACACTCACTGCACAATGAAACAAGCGAGAATGGGGAGTTTTTGATAAATTTTGCCACCAGTAAAAACATGGTTATAAGCTCCACATGCTTCCCACATAAAGACATACACAAAATGACGTGGATCTCACCAGATGGAACCACAACCAATCAAATTGACCATGTGATGATAGACAAAAGGGCAGCCAGTAGTATCTCTGATGCGAGAACACGACGAGGAGCATGCTGTGGGTCAGACCATCTTTTACTGCAAACCAAATTTAGGTGCAGAGTTAACAGAGAAAGAAACGAAAGACAACAAAGAACAAACAAACTAGACCTGGAAAAACTGAAGACTCAGGAATGTAGAGAGAAGTTCGAGCAAGAAGTCACAAATGAGCTAAGGACACAAGAACTGCACTCCATAGAGAGCAAATGGAATAATATCAAAACAGCAGTGCTGACAGCAGCAGCGTCCACCGTGGGTAACTAGAAAAAAAAAAGAAGTGGAACATGGTTTGATGACGAGTGCAGGCAAGCGATAGAAGAAAGAAACGAAGCGCACAAAATGTACATAACAAGAAGAACACGGGAAAGACGAACATCATTTGAAGTCGCAAGACGGAAAGCAGACAAGATATGCAGAAACAAAAAGAGAGCTTATGAAAATGGACAAATAGAAGAAATGGAACAAAATTTAAAAAAAAAACGAAATTAGAGGAGCTTACGAATACCTAAAAAAGATAAAAAGTGGATATAAACCTCAAACAAGCCTATGCAAAGATGAAAGTGGGCAAATAATCAGTGACCAACAGAAAGTCACAGAAACCGGGAAGCATTATTTTCAGACCCTACTTTTAACACAAGTAGATATGGAAGATGAAATGGGTACGAACCATGTAGAAGAGAACGAAGTTGAAGTAGAAGCTCCAACCATAGAGGAAGTTCTCGAAGCTATTAAGGCCCAGAAAAACAATAAAGCCCCGGGAGTTGACGAGATTCCAGCAGAACTGTATAAGGTAGGTGGCAACCACCTATCAAGTCATATCCACGCGCTTATCAAAGAAATATGGCAAGAAGAGAAAATACCCGACGAATGGAAGAAAAGTATAGTATGCCCAATCTATAAACAAGGAGACAAACTCCAATGCAAAAACTACCGTGGAATTTCTCTACTATGTACAGCGTATAAAGTCCTCACGTATATTATAAACCAGCGACTCCAACCACTAGCAGAAAATATTATTGGAGAATATCAGACGGGCTTCAGACGGGGAAGATCGACAATGGATCAAATATTTACAGTCAAGCAGGTCTTGAGCAAATCGTGGGAACACGACATTGATGTTCACAACGTGTTTGTAGACTTCAAACAGGCATACGATTCAGTCAAAAGGGACAGACTATACTATATATTGGCAGAATTAGCAATACCACATAAGCTAATTAGACTCATTAAAGTCACAATGGATGAAACTCAGGCATGTGTACGAATACAAAACAACCGGACAGACTTTTTCAAAATCTCACAGGGACTAAAGCAGGGAGATGGGCTGGCACCAACATTGTTTAACCTGGCACTGGAGTATGCGGTCAGGCAAATGCAAACTGGACGAGAAAACCTACTGACCAATAAAACGGTTCACCTGGCTGCCTACGCCGATGATATTAATATTATGAGTAGAACATCAACAGGAGCACAGGAAGCATACGCAGAGTTAAAAACACAAACGAAAAGGCTAGGTCTGGAAATTAACACAGAAAAAACAAAAATGATGGTACAGACGAGAAGAAATATAATCCCACAAAACATTATACATGAAGATGACATTGAAACGGTTGGAAAGTTTACATACCTGGGAGTAGAAATATATGCCGATGGAGCAGAGGATGGAGAAATACGAAAAAGGATAACGCAGACAAACAAAGCTTATTTTGCCCTCTCCCATATATTTCGGTCTAAAAGTGTCCACCGAAATACAAAGATGAGAATATATAAAACTTTAATTCGGCCAATAGCATGTTATGGCAGCGAAGCATGGGTCCTGAAAGAAACATCCAAAAACAAACTCGACACATTCGAAAGAAAAGTACTGAGGAGAATACTAGGACCTGTGAGGGAAAACGGAATCTTCAGAATTCGATATAATAACGAGCTCTATCAACTGCATAAGGAAACACCCCTGTCAAACTTCATTAGAATACAAAGATTGCAATGGGCCGGACATGTGATACGAATGGGAGAGGATAGGCTACCAAAATGAGCACTGAACGCCAGAATGCAGGGAAAGAGACGTAAGCAGCGACGCACAAGCACTTTTAGGAGTCCGTGTATGGAGAAGAGCAGCCACAGACAGACAAGGGTGGAGGCAAAAAATAAAGGAGGCCAAGGCTCATTTTGGGCTGTAGTGCCGTAGTAGAAGAAGAAGAATGGAAAAATTGGAATACGTAGGGAAGGCGGTGCGATACGTGCCAAGAATGCTAATTGGTCACTATGACTGAGCACTTTTCGACACTACATACATATCTGTCATTGCAGCAACACGTTCCTGCACTTTCCTTAAATATATCAAAAGTTGCCTTAAATCTATTAAAAATGTTAAAACGTTATAAATTACTTCTTGTGGTTGATTAGTCGTTTACGCACATTGTCCATATTTATACCACAACGTTAAAATACTGAGCAAAAGTAACCAGCAATTTTCGAATGTTGCCACTGCGAACTCGTGTCTCTTCGCTATGTTAGACTAGTATCTGGAGGCTTAAAATCTACCATGTAATAGTAATTGTATTAAATTGAAATAAATCATATGGATATAAAAACTACATTCATAATTGTTGTATAATAAAATTAAACAACAATTTTGTTAATTTTTTTCATAATACTCATAATATCATAATTTCATAATATTCATAAGAATTTAAAGGCGAATTTTTACCAGTAGTAAAAGAAAGATACATACCTGAGTTTATGAATGTTGTCACATAATTTTTGCAAATCCCCTACACTCATTGATTTCCTAAACGTACTTTTTGAAGTTGTGAGATTCTCCAGGTTATCTAAAAATGAAAAAGAAAATATATCTGATAAGAGGGAGCTTAATTATAATTATAACCATCGTTATTGTTAAGGGGTAAGGCCACTCCAAAAGAATAAAATAAAGTGTTTTTTCATCCTTTCCTAATGGAAGGAAAAATAAGTGTACATTATTTTCAGATGCAGTTAATGACATCTTAGTGTTCAAAACAAACTAGATATTCCATTAAAAAAAGAAAGTGACAAAGCTGTAACCATTCTAAGATGTGTAATGTCTCTCTGTTGCGAATAACCATACTCATATTAGCTGCATATTCATTTTCATTTGTTGGAAATAGGTGACTATAATTATTTACAAGCATGACCAATTCCAAGGAGTATAGCGTTCGTTAGTAACTTTGGTTGTTCAAAATATGAGAATATATATATATATATATATATATATATATATATATATATATATATATATATATATATGTGTGTGTGTGTGTGTGTGTGTGTGTGTGTGTGTGTGTGTGTAATAAAGAGTAATGGCAAAAAGTATCGGCAAAGCTGGCAACAAGGAAAAAATATTTTCCATAGTCTCGCGATCGGGTAATCCGGAGATCGAGTATTTGCTTAAAATAAACGAAAAATTCAAAAGTTATGACGTATATAATTAGTTGATTAAGTACAATTGAAATATGTAAACCTGTATACAAAGTACATAATTAAGTACATCATCTTCATGTTTTAAAAAAGTCTTTGATACATTTCTGCGTCAACTTCTGGCCTCATTTTGACGTTGAGATGTTGCGTCAACGCTGAAGATGAAGTGCATCGGTGGGGGTTAACTCTCCCTGTTACTCAATTTAGGCGAGAGCAGTCCCAATCGCCTTTAATCCTTCGGAGTGAGATATTTTCTCGATTATCTCATCTGCGTCATCCTCAGTGACCTTGTGTGGGTTGCTAACCATGTTGGCGATTGTATCATGTATCAAACGCATCAAAAAATCAGTCTTAAAAAATTTGGCAATTCATTCACGCACCACGTTGATTCCTGTACATGGTAGGTAGGCAGTTTACTTAAATATTTTTAAAAGCCCTTGGATTCCTCGATTTTCCAATAAATAGAAGTCTTAATTTTAAGAATCCAGAAGAGTTGCTACACATCAAAAGAGTTACTTGTTCTTTGATTTTTTTGTACCCAGGCGCAGTTTTTTCACTTTGGGCTGCCAGTGTTTTGGTTGGAAGCATTCTGAAATTGAGATCCGCTTCGTTCCAATTGAAGATTTGGTCTGACGTGAGGCCATGCTCTAAAATGAGATCTCGGAGGAGTTTGTGAAACTCGACAACCTTAGTTATCATTGATTTATCTGAATCACCATTAGTGAAATCTCATCCCATTGCTATTTTTAAGTACTCAAAGATAAAAAAAAAAAATTATGATTTGATGAATATTGATAAAAAATAAGTTCAATTTTGTTACTCTAGTGTTTTTGAAGTAGCTGGATTCAATTTCTAAATGTTTTATACAAAGGGGGATAATCTTAAATGAGTAGACACCGCCGCAATAAAATTCTGGCTGTATTCTGTGTGGGCCTCTAAGACCTATTGAGCTGTATATGAACCTATATTAGGTTTAGTATGAAGACTAAAATTTTTTTTTGTAATTTTGGGTAAGTAGGTATGTCTTGAAAATATCTAATTCAATTATTGATTTCACCATTACCAACTAATAGCATAAATTTATCTTTAATTATTGGCCTTAACATTAAGATCAATGATTTTATGCCTAAGATCAATATATGAGAAATCATTTTTTCCAAAACTTGCATTTTGTACATCTGTCAATGCTACTTTATGAATAGTATTATTCGAACTTTCGAAGCGATAGGTCGTAAATAATCAGTGCTCAGTGTCTTTTTCTACGAATTAACTCGATTTTAAATTAGTACAAGTGATTCGAAGTCTGACATTAACTCAGTGTAATAAATAAGTATATAAACGACTCCTCCATGGGGGAGGCAATTTCCCCAGAGACGCCAATAGGTGATTTAAACTTTTCATGTGTTAGTGAGAATAGTGAAATGCCTATTAATGAATCCAGTTTAATCGAAAATTTTGATGATTTGACAGCGAAAAATGCGAATAAAACCAGTGACTGTACTACAATCTTGCCAAAACCTGAAGCGCAAAAAACAGTAGCTATAAAATTTTTCAACATTAAATCAGATAAGTACAATTTTAATAATGTTTATGTTTACATAGAAAAAACAAACAATGAAAATATAGGTCGTCTACATCCTTTAACAGTTGCGCATATTTTGCATAAAAAATTGAATATTCCTAATATTATTGAAATTAAAGGCATTGGAAAAAACAGAATTAAAGTTTTGTTAAGGTCAATTTCTGATGCAAATAATTTGGTTAAAAATTTAAAGTTAAAAAATGAAAATTTGGTAGCTTACATTCCTAATCATCTACTAGAAATCAAAGGTCTAATCAGAGATGTTGATACCCAATACGATGAAACTTATTTATTAGATAACAGTGAATCTCCCTCCCCCATATTAGGTTACAAACGAACTTTTAGAAGGGTTGATACGGAAGGAAAAACTAACTATGTACCGAAGAGGACTGTAATAGTCACCTTTGAAGGAAATATTTTACCTAGCTATATTGCAATAAATAGTGTATTTTTTCCTGTGGAAACCTTTATTGGCAAGGTTACTCAGTGTTATAATTGTTTGAGATTTGGACATATCTCCAAGCAGTGTCGGAGTACAGAGGCACATTGCATAAAATGCGGAAAAACCAAAAATGAAGGTCATGCTTGCCAGGATAATGCTATTCAGTGCATCCATTGCATTAGTAAGGATCATGTATCCATTTCCAAGAAATGTCCAAAGTATGAACTGCAGAAGAAGATCAAAACCGTTATGATTGAGCAAAAAACTTCTTTCATCGAGGCAAAAACTTATTGTGAATCATCCTTTTCGGGATTATTCACTCAGAATAGATATTCCACACTAGAAAATAACGGAAACAGTTTTCCTCCCCTGCCAACATTCACAAAAAATTCAACCCATTCTGCTGCCACACAAGTAATCACGCGTAGAAACCAAAACTTATCATCAAATAACACATCACAACCCTCCTCAAGTCGCTATAGCATAGCAAAAAAACGAAAATTAATCTCTCCTACCCCCCAGTCCCCCCATACCACACCTATGTTTCCTTTTAATTTTGGGCCCTCTAGACCCCTTCCTGCTAATTTAAACATCCCTAATTCTCAAAATAAACAAGATCAGACAGATCTTCAAACACTTATTTCCAATTACATTTTTAATTTAATCACAAATATCCAAACTGTAGATGACATAAAAACAATAAGTCAAGATAGTATTTACCATGAAATAAAAACAATTTTGGAGGGTATTATCAATAAATAAAATCTTCACAGAACTTAAATCATTAAAAATTTTGCAATGGAACGCTCGATCCGTTGTTTCGAATAAAAACAGCTTAGTTCATTTTTTAACAACTGAAAATATTGACATTGCCTTATTAGGCGAAACTTGGTTCAAACCAAATCAGAATTATATATTTAAAGATTACAATGTAATTCGCCAAGATAGATATGACGGGTACGCAGGTGTTGCAATCTTAATTAAAACAACCATACCATTTTGTCAAATAAATATTAGAAACAATTTTTGTGATGTATGTGAATAAGAAAACATTCGGAACGCACTCAGGTTGGTAACATGTAAGAGTGACGTGACGTACAGGTGCAAGGAAGAGGAAATAAAAGCATTCTGAATCTAGACACGATAGATGAAAGGTGTTTCATTGTAACCTAATTTCCACTCTCCGTAACCTATCCTATAAACCCGACCACGTGTCATCACATGGTGCCGAAAACCAAAATCTGAAACCAAACCGAATTCTTTAAGATTTAAGAAGAGTATAAAAGTGAAATGGAATCTAAGGCAGCAATAAACTCAATGCAAATGTCAGGTAATTTATACGAAAACTGGAAGTTCTTCATACAAAGATTTAAAAACTACCTTCAAGCAACAGAATTAACAAAAAAACCTGAAATAACCCAATGCGCACAACTGCTACAACTAATAGGAGACGACGGATTCAAAATCTATAATACGTTCAAGTTCTCAACAGAAGAAAAAGATAAGTTAGAACCATTAATTACAAAATTTGAAGCACATTTCAAACCCAAAAGCAATGTATCAAACGCAAGGTATTGCCTGTTTAACAGAAAACAAGATGAAGGTGAGTCAGTAGACAAATTCATAACAGATATTGTAAACCAGGCAAAAAATTGTGAGTTGGAGGATTTGGAGAACAGTCTGATTAAGACTTGCATAACATGTGGGGTAACAGATGAAACCATGAGACAGAGACTGTTAGAAGAAGATGAGATGAGCTTGGAAAAAGCAATCAATCTGTGTAAAAGTATAGAAAGCTCGAAAATCCATTCTGAAAAAATGAGGTCAGAGGAGGTAAACTACATAAAGAAAGGAAACTTCGGTAAGAAATATGTAAATAAAGCACAGTGGGAAGACAGAAGAGTGAATCAAACTCATTCGAAGTCCCAAGGCAGCCAGTTCAATTGAAGTAAGAAAACAAAAAAGTAATTCTATAAGAGTTTGTATCGATCCTAGAGACTTGAATAAAGCTATCAAAAGAGAGCACTTTCAACTCCCTACGGTTGATGAAATAGCTGCAAATTTAAAAGGTAGTGTTTATTTTAGCAAGCTTGATGCTTCAAAAGCATTTTGGAGCATAAAACTTGATGATGAAAGTAGTAAATTATGTACTTTTAACACTTGCTATGGTAGATATAAATTTTTAAGGCTGCCCTATGGCATTAGTTCAGCAAGTGAGGTATTTCATAAAAGATTCAGTAAAATATTCAAAATGGAGGGTGTAGAAACATATATTGATGATATAATTGTTTATGGCTCATCAAAACAACAACACGATAAATGTTTATATCAAGGATAAATAATGTCAAATT